TTCACTCATCAATCAGAAAGGTGTTCTTCTCCACGACAATGCGCGTCACACAGCATGTGGCACGTTTGACGCAACACAAGATTATGGAGTTGGGTTGAGAAGTTCTCCCCACCCATCATATTCTCCAGACGTGGCACCATCAGATTACCATTTTTTTCATTCGCTGCAACACCATCTTAACGGGAAAACGTATGCAAATGTGAAAGGTGTTAAAGAGGACTTCGACATGTTTTTTGCTTCAAAGGCAAGTGATTTCTTTAATCAGGGCATTAACAACCTGATTGTAAGATGGAAAAGCATCATCAATAAGAATGAAGACTATTGCATATAATAAATGTTTAGTTTCGATATATAAGTTATTCGGGTTTTTTCATCTAAAAAAAAGTGACATTAATTTCTTGACAACCTAAGACTTATCAAATTTTCCGACAAAATGGAATAATAAGGGAAAACACCAAGTAAAGAATGTATAAGAAAGTAGAAGTTCAATGTAATCATTAGATAGTAAAGTTTCATTTTGGAACAAGAGTACAATTGAAATTTCCTATTACTATATTATTAGAAACATTCATTTAGTAATAAATTCATTTTTCATTATTTGTTTTCTTCTTTTAACTCTTAATTAAACATTGGGGGGAGATTTTTTCCAAGTACAAGTATCTGCTGAAAAGCTATTTTATGGTAAGAAGGAAAATACCATATTTTGTATAACATATCAGTACTTTGAGGAGTGTAAGGTTTTCTTTCTTTATTTCTTTCTTGCCAAAATTCATAATTCTGTTAATGAAACAAAAAATTACAATAATGCTTGTATATGTTATAAAGGACCTGGTTGTTTGGGTGCTCTACTCGCAATCTGAGGGCTGCGAATTTGAATCCCCATCACCAAACATGCTCATTCTACATGGTTGCTGACTAGGCCAGCTGTCCAGGTGTAAAAATTCTTGGCTTACAACAATAATGGCCAACCCCAAACTAGTTGTGATTAAGGTTATAAAAAAAATTATAAATTATGAATACTATTATAAAAGTCTTAAACATAAAAGTTTGCTATTGTGCAAAAGTATAATTGAGGATGATGAAGTATCATGTTGACAAAGATTTCCAGTAGAAGAATAATGTGGCAAAAAGTCCAGCTGAAACTGAATAGCTAACACTAATCAGTTTTGTAATCTTGTGTATTTTTGACATCTTACATTTTTTTTTTTTTGCAAAGAGAAACCAAGTCATCTCATTTCCTAATCTGGATCATAACTATTATGCTGAATAATTGGGAATTAAAGTTCTTAAAGGTAAAACATTTCTACTGAACTATGTTTTAATCTTTTATTACAGCTTAAAAGATACAGGACTTATGCCTTTCTGCTACGATCCAAAATGGCTCAATTTCCGGAACTTGAACCTTCACTTGTAGAGACATCAATTGGGGAAGTTGAAGAACCTCATGAGAGGGTGGATCGTACTCAGACTGTTCCTTCTACTCCTCCTGGAGGTCGACCTTCAGGAAAACGCTCCATACCAGATAGATACAGCTATCGTGCTGCTATCTATAGGAACAGCACAAAAGATGATTGTGGCTAATGAAATACAATATCAAGAGGTTGAAGAGAACAAAATAGTTTACTTAGGCTATAAATGATACATGAAGTAACTTTATATTGAAAAACTGTGTGACATTTATAAATGTATATATATCTTTGAGAATCAGCCTTGATAGAAAAAAGAATCCCTAAACTTGGCAATATAAACAAAATAGAGGCCTATAACTAACAGAAATTTAAAGAGCCTGATATTTTTGTTTAACCAGATTTTTAGTAAATAATTATAAATGAATAACATGTAAACCCATTAAGCCTACTTGAAGAAAAGGATATTATGTACAAAGAATTCATCTACTGTACAGATCTGCTCTCCATGAGAAGCATTCACTTCATGGTTTATCTCTGGTATATGCAAACTTAAAAATGTCAGTGAACAAAAAAACCAAAGCCTTGGAAACAAAAAGAAGAAACAAACAGTGTTGTCCTACTTTAGAAAACAATTCTAACAACTCATTTGAACCTCTGTGACTAACAGAAAGTGTTTCAACCCCTTGCCTTCTTTATGTATTTGCAACAGAGTTTATATGAACCACAGAAGAAGAAGAAGAAAATATCCTTATAAATTTGTACATCAACAGCGTATGAAAGTTACTGTGAAGAGTCAAAGCAGAGAGTGCCATTGCTCTGCACGTTGTTGAACATGTCACCTCCTTTCTAGTGGCAGCTAATTTTGTGTCTGGCCTTGTCCAATGAAGTTCACTGATTTTCCTCTTATACCAGTCTGATGGAGGGTATTTACTTGCCTATTGTGGTGGATAGGGGCTAATAATGAAGAGTTTTCTTCTTATTCTAAGAATCTTAAGGTCCAGGTTTTCACCTCAGTCAGAATTTTCTGACTTTGCCTTAGTGGAAATTTTTTTTCTCTTCTCACAGATTAAGATTATCAAAACTGCATTTTTTTAAGTAACTGTAGTATTAATATTGATGGTTAGAATCAGCCTATCCTGTAAAGACAAGCAAATGTGTAATTTCAGTAGGTTACAGTATATGCAGACAGTAACTTAAATTCTAGAATACATCAGTAGAAAAATATAACCTCAAGTATGTTCTTATCATTGTATCTTTTTTTACATTATAATGTAATTTTTTATATACATTCATGCTGTATACTTTCTGTTCTTACTATTGTTTATTTTCATTAATTCTGGAAAGCTTATAGGTCATGATAAGAATATTACCATTCTGTAATGCTGACTTAAATTTTTGTGTTAATCCTTTCAGTGTATTTTTTTAACCCACTACAAAATTTTAATGAAGAAAAACAATTGGGTGTTTTGTTTAAGAAGAGTCTTTTTTTTTCCTTGTGTTAATTTACTGAAGTTGAACACAGGCAGTATGTTCATATTGATGACCTGGCAAGTTAATTTCTGATGTCATAGACTGAGATGTCAAAAGGATTTATTATTAAATATATTTACACAAGAAGCTGATTTTTTAATATATATTTATCTTTATTACTTAGTGCGTGGTTGGAGCAGCTTCATGATGATCATTGTGAGTAACCGAGACAAACATTAGTCTTCATTGTTTATGTGTATAGTAAATAATGTCATTTTATGAGGATACCGATATTCTAATAAATCTCTTTACACATACACACACACTTATATAATTACATTTAATAGTGTTTGTGTAGAAAATACAATCTTGATTGTTTTTTTTTTGAATGAAGCTATTGTGTTATTATGTGAAAAGAAATTATGGCTTCAGTAGAATGTGAAAGTTTTAAAAAAGATTCAATTACTTAAATTGCTAGTAAAAATTCAGTAGCACTACTGAACTTTTACTTGCAATTTCGGAACTAGAAAATTATGACTTGTGTGTTTTGAGGCAGTAGCCTTCAAAAGAAATCTTTGAGATTTCATATTATCAGTTTCTTTGTAAAAGTTATGACAGGTATTGTTTTTGATCTGAAATTTTAGGTTTTGTACAAAGTTACTAGTCGTAATCAATTACTTGATGTATTTTTGTTAGCATCGCTTTGTTTACTGTTTGTGGTTGCTTCTACATAATACTGCTTTCTATAGGAGTCATTCTGACACATTTTTGACAAATTTAATTTTTTTATTTTTTTGCTTGTTAGTTTTATTCCATTATGAGTAAGAATGACATCTTTTAGAAAGTTTTAAGACTTTTTAAAGATTGAATAGAAAGAGGGTAGTGTTAGGCCCTTTTTTTTTTATAAAATATATACAAACGTTACATGAATAGATGGTCAAAGCTCATGAAAGAGGCTGTGTGGACTAAAAATAATTTTTGTTTTACATTTCTTAGCTTCTGTTTGCATGAGGTTATTTTGCTTGTAACGGGATTTGCAGGTGAAGGCTTTCTTAGAAATATTTTCTGAAGTTATTGTTTTTGGGTTTATAGACTTTTTAAACCAATAGCTGTGCTTGCAATTTTTATATGAAAATGTTACCATTCCAGATAAGTAAACCATTTACACAAATGACTTAAATTTTTCATGTGTTTAAGATGTGTTTTTATTGGGGCTCCTTGAGTTATTTATTATTTGGACAGACCAAAAACCATGAAAAATCACACAATACATTTATGTTTCTCTGTGGTGGTGTTTTTTTTTAAACAACTTTGACTATTCTATTACATATAACTTGAAAACTTGGCTTTCAGTGTTCCAGTAAGGCTTTTAAGAGTTTGATGTTGCAGCTCGTAAGTGTTTTTTCATGCAAATAATAACTAGGCTTAACAAACATTCCTATGGTTTTCAGGCCAGGTATATATTTAGGCTTCTCTTTTTTTAATAACATTTGCTGTCTTATCAGTATACCATGGTGTAATTACATATAATTCACTGTACATATCAAATGTATTTTCCTTTTAAAAAACCTTGAAAACATAATTATAATTACCAAACATCTATCTGTTATATTCTTTAGCCCCAAAATGTTTTCATGGTTATCATGCTTGCTTAGATTTTGATGAAGATTTTGTAGAGTTCTAAGATGCTATCTTTAGTCTATACTTTATTGGCATCTTTTAATTTAATGATAATTGTGATAATGTTTGTATCTATTGTTGCAACCACAGGTTTTAAATTACTATTTAGAACTTATAATTCACTCCTCAAAAATGCTTTCATTTTCAGTTTTCTTGTTCTGTGACTTATTATTTTTGATATTATATGATTTTTTAGTATCATGAATATTTAATATGGTCATTGGTATCATTAAAACCAGAAATTTGTGCTCCATAACATATTCAAAATCTACAAACATCTATTTTGGGTGACATATTTTATACGCAACTTAGCTAAAGTCACTATTTTATATTTTTCTTCAATTTGAAATAAAAAAAAAACAAGTTTTAATTCTGAAGTCATGATTCATATTGAAATTGTAAACATAATTTTTTCTTGTATCAACTGACATACAAAACGTTTTCAGCCTGATAAGTCTGAGAATTATGAATCATGTTCAAATATAAACATAAATTTATTTGGAAAAATGTAAACTTTGCTTTTCGAATTTCTACAAAAGTTATGATAGCAAAACTTAAAAATCAAAGAAAAACAAACTGTAGAAGAGGAACACTGCAAGTAGTCTCTTTTGTCTTCATTGTTCCACAGGAATTAAGAAGGAAAATTTTAATAAATGAAAAAGGCTAAGAGGGATGGTGTTGTTTTTTCAGTCTTTTTTTGTTGTTGTTAAAATAACTAAAAAAAAAGGATGGTTTTATTCAAATTCAAAGGCTTCTTACATCCTTGTTGGATCACTTACCTGGACTCGTTTGGAAGAAGTAATTAACCTTTTGGATGCATTTTCCTTGTTTGGCAGCAAGAAAAGTGACCATGGTTCATTTCGGAGCAAAACGTTATCAGATAAGCTTTCTTATAACAAGCTAATCCATAGAAACCAAGCTTAAAAGATACATTAGTTCTTTTGATGGTTGCAGTGGAAATTTGTATAATGAAAGAAATTAAACTTCTGCAAGTGTGTCTTGTTTTAAAACCTAATACTTCTACATGTTATTTAATTGCAATGCAATAATGCACTGAAGAGGTTTATGCACTAGCTGAAAGTATAATATATATATTCAAGTTAGTAAAGATATAAAATGTTAATATATGATTATGTATTTTAGTGTTGTTACCTCTGGTATAGGGGAACCAGTGGTAAAATATAGTGAACAAACAGTGTACAGAAAGAAAATTATGGTTGACTGAATTAGATATGTCAAATTGGCCAAATTTCTTTCAGTCATCATTTGATGATATTATCAAGAGGGTTGAGGCACCTAGTAATTAATTAAAGCTAAATTACTAGAATGAACTTATGATAATCTATGAGAATGCCAAATCTTTATACATTTGCATCTTCATTTCTGGAATCTACTCTCCCTTGTTTACTAAATATTGAAGACCAACTGTGTAATTGGGTAATTTGCATATAAGATATTTTTTCCAAAGCAGATTTTTTGCAGCTTTTGGGTATGTTACAGAGATAAAAATTCTGGTTGCAACAGTACCCAAAACAGCTTGGTAAAGAAATTTCCAGGTTTAACCTTCAATGACTATACTTATTGTTTTTATGCTAGTGGTTGACATTTGGGACTTTGTTAAAATGTGAAACGTATATGGATGCTAGTAGAAGTTTAAATTTCAGATTCCAGATGCCAAGTTTTGATTAAAAAATACTTGGGTGCAAGATTAAAAGTGGCAAAAGTTACTAGTTTATACTTGAAACAAAATAATGTTAATATTGTGCAAAAGGTTAGAATATGTATGACTGGTAATTCAAGTGTGTCTTATGAAGGTATTCCATCCTTAGGTTAGTACTGTATAGAATTTTAAGTATTTACAGTCATTTGTCTGCCTAAAATATGAAATTGTTTTATGTTTGTTTTGACATATTTTAAATTAGAAGCATTTTTATCAGTTGGTATTTTTTTAGGCAGTACAGACATATTAATTTCATTGAAAGTTTTTGTAATTTATAGAGAAAGTATTGAAGTTTTAGACTTGAAAAATTATTCATTTATTCCTCACATACCTTATTTAAGAACATTAAAAAAGTAGATGTGTTTTATTAGTATTCTCAATAATAATAATATTTTATTAGAATGAGTAAAAACATATGCTTATAGGGTAAAACATTCAAAATAATAGGAAAAAGTCAGTGGAGACTTTCATGTTATATTGTTTTTAGTAATGTTGACACCAGCTTATCAATATTGTGGTTTGCAGTATTGCCCTCAAAAGTAAACTCTATAATAAGCAAAGATTTTTATTTTGCTATTTTTACCTTTGTATCTAAAGGTTGTGTATAACATGCATTTCTGATAAAAACAAACATTGTTTTCAGTACAATAATTATAAATTCATAGCTATATAGTTTTGAATTTTCACACTTACATGTTCCATCAGGAAATATTTAAATTAATGAAAACTAGAAAGTTAATCGCTGCACTTTTTATTTTCAGACTTAGAGCAGTCAACTTTGTATTGCAGAGGAAGCTTCTCAACATTTTATATACAGTGCTTTTCAATAATATGTACATTTTCCCTTTAATATGTATACTGAAATTATTATCCTTTGGAAGGTTGAGTGTAGAGGTTGTAGCTAGAATTTTCGTATGTTATTCCTTCATAGTATTTGGTCAGTATTAACTAGAATACTTTTTCTGGTAGTATTAAGGTTAATCTAAGCTCAAATAATACATATCAACAGATAGGTTGTCAAACAGCTAATCACGTGTTACAAGTTCCTGCTATCAGATTCTACCAGAACCTTTTGTTTAGGAACTTTCACATTCACTCCAATCTACTTGTCTTTTGGTAATGTAGATAGTGCTAAAGAAGAAGTGTATCTCATTGAAATTCTTTCCTTGAAAACGTATTTATTGGCAAATCAGCCTGTCATCGTCTTCCAAGAACCCGTGAGGTCAAAAAGAATCAATTGTTTTGATTTTTTTGTTACATAGAATACAGTATGTACTGAAGAAAAAAACCCCCATCACAATTCGGTTGTTCACATGTAACTCTAAAGACTTTTTCTTTCATATGAAATGGGTTTTGATATGCACCATCACAATGAAAGTGCAAGAATATGGTGTTTAAAAGTAATTGTCCATTTTTAGAAGTATATAAAATTTTCCAAAACACTAAATTAAGTTTTAAATCATCTCATTATGTCAAGGTGTGAGAAAATTATGTAACGATTTTAGGTGGATACCAAAAAGTGAAACATTAAATGTTTGATTTATAAGTTCCAAGATGTATAGTGTAAAACTGGGTATTTTATTTTCTCTCTCTATAACAAAATTTGGTTGCTTTTTTTAGTTAATCATATTATTCTTCCCATGTATAAGAAAGGCATGGAATTTGGCACTACTAGAAGTATGAGTTAAAACATTTACAGAAAGAACAAATATCAATGTTTTCAGTTGGTGGTTTTTATCTTAACGTGTTATCCATTGTTAAGTAGATTCAACTCTTCTTTACAAATATTCCGTTCTAGTGTGAGTGAAATGTATTATCTTTAGTTTAAGATTAATTACATGTCCCCACATTTTCAGTCAACAGCTTGTTTGGTTTATATATTTTTTTGAACGATGTCTTGGAGTTAAAATGAACTGTATTTCAAGCTACTTCCAATGGATACTAAAAAGATTTAAAAAAATCTAGTTCTCTGGATTTGGTTCGTTGAATTTTAAGTATTTTTATTTTGAAAACGATAACTGTTTCCTTTTCGTGATTTAGATATAAATTCAAGCTATTCCAAATAGCTTCTTACTGAAATAGGGCGCAATAGCAGCCCAATTTTAAAATATTTTAAGATTTAGATATGCTTGGTTTCAAACAACCTCACGTTGATGTATATACATATGGTAAAGTGTTCTATTTTGTGAATGTTTTAGATTAGGATTAGCTTATTCCAGAAAACATGGAGTCTAGAAGAGGCGAAAAAGCCCAATTTGTAAACAAAAAGTCCGTGTTTAGGTTTGTTGTTTTATTACTGATAGTAAGATTTAGGGTATGAATTGAGCAGTATTGAGGATTTGCTCTAGTAGTTTTCCTTTCCTTCTTAGAATGTATCTACTTCATATGTATGACGGATGTGGAAATGTGCGCGTGATTTGATATTATTGAATGATTTAACTATGACAAGAAACGGAGATGATTATATTCCAAGTAGCTATCAGCATACGCATATTAGTTTGTTTTTGTTTTTAATTGGTTATCGGTTTGGGAATGATTAGACCAATTGTTTATATTAACCAGCTTAAATATTTAATATAATTTCTTGAAATAAATCCAAATTAGTATTTCACTGAAATAATTAAGAAAGGAATAGTGTATGTTTGATTTCTCGGTAAAACGAAGACAGTTTCATTTGAGTTTTTGTAGTAATGCAACTAACTACTCATCAACACCTTTGTATCCAAAGTGTAACCAAATGCTTTAACTTATGATTTGTATAATTGTTTGATTAACAACAATAGATAGCTCACAGCTATGAACGCCCCAACTGTAAAATTAGCTGAGTGTTAAATACCTTAAAAGTTACTTGAAGGTTTGAAAACTGTTAAAATTAAAGTTTATAACGTTATCAAACTGTATGATTTATTAACCTTAGTTATTCTAAGTGACAAAAATGAACTACGTACACGTAACAATTGACAAATTATTAATTTTGTAGTAGAGTACCATATAATGGTGCTTCGAAAATATTTTGTTTAAAAAAATAGGAAACCCTTCAAGTCTATAATTTTTAGCTGTATGTGAAGGGGAAGAAAAATAAGCATGCTTTATGATGTTCGAAATCATTAAATGAATGTGCGAAATAAGTGTTATATTAAAAATATGTAAAGAATGGCAGTTGTATATTTTCATACTTGATAAGTTATGGTTCAGGGTTGTAAACAAAACATAATCGACGTATACGCAGTATGTGATGAAATGATAGAATTGTTCACATTTGCCAAATGCAGCTCGTTTGCGAAAACGGAAACCAGCAGTAGTAGTAGTAACCGAAAATAAAGAGTAACTTAGATAGACATTTTCAAGTTTTATAATTTTTTTAGATTGGTATACTCCTATTTCTCGTGCTATTTTGTGCCAAGATAAAATACGCAACAAAAGTTTTGCGAATAGCTTATTTTAGTCGCCATATTTTCCGTATATTTTGAAATACTGCTGTTTATAATTCATTTTATTTTTAGGCTTATGTTATATTGTATGCTAATCTATTTTGAGTGATTTGCCTTTTTGTACATAGCTAGTAACTATAACAATGCGTTGCGTTAGAAAAATACGTCGCTTAAATCTGTGTCATAGGCTCATAACAGTATTGTTCAGTAAAGTCCTTTAAACGCTCAGGGTTTTGTTTTAAACATTTGACTGGAAATGGTGAGAAAGGGAAACATCGTGGCCGCTGGTAGGGCCAAGAGTACCTAATATTGAGTAGTTTCAGAGTGAAATTGTTGATAAAAGTGAAAATTAATATTGGAATGCTGCCTACATTTTGGTGAAATAAAATAATTGAGAACCATTATTTGTCA